GACCGAAGGGGCTTGTCCTTGGCACACAGGATGCATTTGTAAGTAGGGTCTAAGTAGAGACAACACTTGCCTCTGCATCAATCTAATTGTTTGACTATGAGATGCATACCTCATTGTACGAGCACTATGACGGACATGCAGTGCAAAGAACCCAGCAAACCGAGCACTCAGGCTGGCAATTGTGTAAGGCCCCCGACTGTCCACGGAGAGCCATCACCGGACAAGTTCCAGTGCGCCGGCTATGGAAAGCGCTACAGACGAAGTTATGCGAGCCTCAAAAGCTGCCGTTTGAACTAAGCCCAGCAACCGTTCAAATCGAGCATAATATGCCGGTTCTCTTCCAGCTCATGGCATCGAAACCGTGACAAGACACCTCACTCCCATCGAGCAACTGTGGAGGCTCCACCACGATACCTTTACACTCTTGACGAGCACTCACCGGCATGGCGAGCGTTCCTCCGCACTCTTGTTCAACCCTGTCGTCTTGCTCTTCTACCCCCTGACCACCCACTACTTGTCACACAGACCTTTTCTCCGACACCGACTACAGCTTCTCTCGACGGCTGTCGCTAAGCCCATGCCTCTCTTAGTGTGAACTTGGCACTGCTGGCAGAGCATGCTCGGTGAAGTCGTGTCTCTTGCATTGCTGGGAAGATACCCGAAGCCGACTGCTGCACCTTGAAAAGTGAGGCAGGTCCATCCTCAGAGTAGAAGAGGCGCACGGCGCATGTTGCACCAAAGCGTCCAGTGTGAAACCTGCTTGGCTTTGTCGCCAACTGTTCATCAAGCTGCATTCCGGCTCAGGTGCCCATCAACGAGACCGCCTGACGAAAGTGGGCATTTTGCAGAATCCGAGATGGGAGTGTGAAAGCACTGTAAAGGCCAGGCTCAATCTACGAAGATCCCACAACGGCTCAGGCCAAGGCCAGTGCAGTAACGGACAGCACACCCAGGCCTGAGTTCAAGCAGTCCAGCGTTTGCAACGACCAGATACAGACACAATACTTTTGTTTGCGAGCTGGGCAGCCGCGGCACATCTTGCAAAGAAAAAAGCCCTTGGAGAAAGGCTCGCACCCACTGCTGTCACGAGCAGACATTGCAGAGTGCTCTGTCGCTTTTCTACCTGTGCAGAACGGAAAGGACTTCATGGGCTAAGGCCCTTTAAGGCTCGGTCTGGGTATTGCAACACATCCTCACTCTCTCGCAGAACAAGCAGGTGTCTGCGAGCCTGTCTGCCAAAACCGATTTCGGGCCGCCTCGTCATCTTCCTCATCGTCTTCGGCTGGTTTTGCACCTCGGTGCAAATTCGGTGCAAATGGGGTTTCACTGTGTGCGTGCACTTATGCCGCTCTAAGCCCGGAGCCCTTGGAGCCCCTGCGGCGGAGGCCCGCGGCAGCTGGAGTCTCTCGTGACTGGCAGATCCAAAAGCCAAAAGACAGGAAAGCAAACGTATTGACGTAAAATCTGCCGCGACTCCCTGCTCCAAGCCGCAGATAACGCATCCCGAATAGGCGAAATGCGGAAACCTGAAGACGTAATTTTTTTGGCTGCGAGGAGCCTCCGATGGCACTTCGCTATGCGCCACCTTCCGGGACAGGGTCTGCGCTGACTGGTTTTCAACAGGACAATCCTTCGAACTTCGTCTTGCTTCCAGAACCCCCCTATGCAGAAGGGAAGTCAGTGAGGTTGTCTCAACAGTTCTCACTTCCTTCCGTAGGTGTGAAAGCAGTCTCAAGACATGGGAGGCTTGCACCGGCAATGCCAACGACTCACTACCCGAAGCCGAGCAATATCCAATAAACAGCCAGGACCTAAGTTCGAGATTCCAATCATGGAGACAGGTGATGCTGAAAGCATTTGGAGCACTTTCTCGAAGACAGAAAGCAGAACTCTGTAAAGAAGAAAAGCCCTTTGCGGCCAATGCCCGCCATAACCAAGACAGAGGCAACTTGCCAACATGCCTCCTCTGTCTCCGCACCACTCACGTCAGCTGGCTGCTCGGTCGCCTGTCATGGACGTGGAATACAAGTGCATTCAACCGGACACTGTTCAAAAAAACACGTTGTCCAAAGCCATCCGAGCACCCTGAAGCCCAGAACCTCCCCGAGCCGGCCAGCCGGACGATGACTGGAATCACCCGTGAACAGACATTTGAAGGAACGGAGCCATCCCTCCCTGGCGCCTGCTCCGCGACATCCGGTGCCTGTTCCTTGCCTGAAAGCATCTCTTTTGCCACGTCTCCTGATTTGTGAAACTCGAGTCTACAAGACAGAAGCAGCCACGATAGTTAAAGCTGGACTACTTGGATCTCTGTGCCGGCGAGTTGCGCCGACGTGTCTTGTAGTCTTCCATGTTCTTCTTCAGTTGCTTCAAAGCAGCTGTAATGTCAGGGTTCGAGGGCTCGATCTCGTGAGCACTCGTGAGCGCGTCCTCCCAAGGGCTTTGACAAGGAGCTTCCTTACCCTCAAGATCCAAACTGCCGGTCACGGCGGAGTCTGGGAATCACAACGGACCCGTGCCTTTGCGAGCTCAAACTCGTCTCGAGCCAAGTAGGCGAGCCCCACGCGGTAGTGTGCTTTGACAGCCTCATGCGCTTCAAGTTTCAAAGTCTTGAGACTCAAAAAGGCTGGTAATAACTGCCTAAGCAGATGAGGATGAGGGATGAGTGTGATTGCCGCCAGTGCCGAACACTCTCTGGAAGCTCCGGCATTGCTGGATATGCAGAGGGGATTTCATGGCTGTGTCGTGATGAGCCCGGGCGGCGCGAGGGTTTATCTCCAGCGCTTGCCGGCACTGCGTGAGCACTTCGTCCCAGTCTTCCTGTGCAGGCTCACGCTTCAAACTTCAAATGCTGCAGGTCCGGTCGGGTCATCTTGGCCAGCGGGCTCTTTTACTGGTCTCCAGCCTGCTGGCACTTGCAGGCCGCCAGGTTCAGCAGGCACGGCAGTTTCACAGCATCGACCTGCGGGTGTTCGGGCTGGGCTTAGGTGTCGGATAGGATGGCCCAGCCCGAAACAGCTGGGAGTTCATGTAGCCCACAGGCGTCTCGGACTCAGCGTCTGCAAGGCTTGAATACTAACAGCTGAAGCCCTTAAGCGACCCCGAGGTAATGAGGAAACATGCCAGCAAAGTGCTAGCTCGCATGCCCTGGCCTGATTCTGCAAGTCCTCTCATGTGCAGCTGCTCTGGGAAAACTGGCGACCATCACAAGAAATCACCAATGCTTCTCTGAGACCGACCTCTATTCGAAGAGCTGCCAGGGTGTGGACTGCTGTAGCGAGTTCGCTTCCAAGGAATTGTGCAGAGACAGACGCGGGTGATGTACACAGATCCTAAAACCAGAACAACCAAGTGCTCAGAGCATGGTACCTGAAACACCAATGACTCACGCTGTCCTCAGTCTCCGCAAAAGTGTAGTCGAAGTGCAGTAAAGCCTTTCGGTAGTGGACGGCCGCAAGACCGAAATTGCGCCGTCCTTCGGGGGTGTAACTACACTGCATGCCTGAGTGGACTGTGATGGATTTATATCCAGTCAGGAGACGGTATGCTTCATTGCCTTCTTGGCGGAAGCGCTCAGCAGCTGCAATTTTCTCCTCTGTACTTCGCTCGTAAATCCTTAGGATGCAAGCCACGACCAGACCTATGTAAAAATTGGAAAAAACTGAGAACCACGGAACCGTCGAGTAGAACAACGAGTCCAAACCGACCGTTGCATCCTTGTCAAGTCTGGCCGCTGCCACTCCTTCTGGTGGTCCTGCGAGCAGCTCGTTGGAGGCCTGCGGTGTATTCTCATGAACCGAAATAAATGCGCCCAGTGCCCAAGCTCCTCTCAGCTTGGCAGCATGCGAATTCGTGCAAGAGCGTCTAATTGGATCCTCTGTTCCTGCCTCTTGCAATTGGGCCCATGTTCGTGGTCCAACGTGCACCATTGAGCTGCTTCAGTGGCCTTTCCTAGGTTGCTTGACGGCATGACTGGCCAAAACACTTGCCACTGTGCCAAAACTGGACCACAACCAGCAAAGCAAATTGTTCATTCAAGTGACGCTGGTACTCTTGCTCCTTTTCTTGCCGATCGAGCTCCTTGACTGTTTTCTCGTGCTTGCCATAGTCGATCTCGGTGACTTTGCGGCCTGGCAAAGGAACGGCGGGGAAACATGTCGTGCAAGCGCAGCGTGTTCCATCAGCTTTATATCAAGCTGGACACGTAACCAAAGATCTTCAACGATGTCATGGAGATCACCTGTCGTTGTTTGGCTTATGCTTTCATGCTGGGGCTCCGACTGATTTCGCTCTTGTTGTTCTCGGCATGCACGATTGTATTTTCATGCTTCAAATTCAGCTCCTTTTCCTCCTGCCACGCACATTCCATCCCTCTGAAAGATAACCCGTGTCGCGCACAAACACACGCGAATGCTTATTGAGCCTTCTTCCGCTTTTCATACTCTTGACATAACTTCTTCGCCAAATTGTATGCTGCAGCTGATGTTGCCGCCATGGCTCCGGCTATGTCGAATGTGTCGATCAGGAATTTGGTGCTTCAACAAACACATGGACATTGACTTGATCTGGTTACTCGTCTCGACAAAGTTCCAGTTTCTTGCTTCTTGACTTTCAACAATGCAAGCCTGGCTGCTTGAAAACAACAATCGCAGCAAAGACGAACTAAACGAGCTTCCCATGCCGGCCAAAACACACCATCAAGTTCGTGATTGGAACATGGAAGCCACGTTGCATGCGTTGTGCTAAAGACATCATGGTGAAGCTTTTGCAGGCAATGATCCAACTGACCCATGTTTGCGTTGTTTCACGTGTGCTGAAGTTCGTCAAAGTCAGGTGCACAACCACAAGCGGAAACTACTGCACGATTTCCATTCTTTCCTACCTGATGCGAAACGGGATGTGCATAGAAATCGGTGCTGAGTCCAATTCGTCGAATGGCCAATCGCCATGCAAACATCAATCACATTGATGACACCCTCAATGTACAACCAACGCATAAAGCGGCGTTGCTATTGAATCGCTGTAGCAAATACAAACCAAGGAAGCGACATCAACACTTGGCGAAACACATCATCAGACAACTGAACACCGAGATGTTTATGTGTGTATAAACATGTGTACATTTATATTTATGTATGTGTGTATGTATGTGTATAAAATATATATGTATTCATATTTTCGTACATATATGTATGTATTTCTAGATGTACATGCTATTCCCATGCACTACTCACATCACAATCGACGTCATTGCAGGAGTACTGAAGTGCAGAAGTTTTGGACGGAAAACATTTCATTCGTATTTCAAACTAAAACCAAAACCATAACTAACTGCCGGGCGCGACCTCTCCGGTGGCAATCCTAAACCTAAACCCTAAAGAAACCTGAACCCTAAAGGTCGAAACACTTTACCACCTGAGAGGTCATGCCCGCCTAACTTTATCGAAAGTTCCAAGCTATCATCAATTTGCGTGCCATTTGTTGGAGATGAGAAGTGGCCTGCCCCGCCCTCCAACAATAACATTGTCTTTGGCGCAAGTGACCATCGACGCACAACCTCATTTCAGCATCCATTGCCAGATCCCAGTCCACATTGGCAGCATGAGGATCCACCATCGGATCGATTGGCGTCATTTCACGCCAACTCAGCTGAAGCTGAACAGACATGGATATTGTTCGATAGTGGTGCATCAGCAAATTGTTGCCCACCATGGTTTGCATCGGACTATCCATTGCTCCCAGTAGGTGATGATTGTCCGATTCTGCGTAGAATTTCGGGCAAGACTTTGGACATTCTTGGCAAGAGGATCATAGAGCTTGATTGTGGAGATCATTCATTGTGTCTCCATTTTTTAGTTTGTCAAAGCATCCCGTTTCCTTTGGATAGTGTAGCTAGATTTTTATTGCAGGACTTTTGGACCATCATGAGTCGAAACTTCATGGCATTGATGACACCTACTCTGAAGATTGTTCCGATCATCAGGCAAGGGACATTGGTGTACATGACACCGACTGTTGTTCCTTATTACGAATCGGATTGCAACATGACTGAAGCTCAGGTGAACGCTTTGATGAGCGATGTTGACTTGCATGATTGCGACATTGAACTTCGTGGTATTACGGATGTCGCTGACGATGCCTATGATCATATTGCTCAGATTCACTCGTTGATTGCGGCAGCTAAGGACAAGTCCAAAGCAAAGCCCAAACCATTGCCCAAACCGCCAAGTAGCAAGAAACCTGCTGATGTCAAGAATTCGGACTATTGGGTTGTCAATGAAGATAAAGCTGTATTGGTGCGCATTCATGTCAAACCAAGACAACATTTGATGAAATTACGCTATCTGCGTGGCGCATTGCTTGTTGATGAAAAGGGATTGACAAGACGCAGAGAAACGGAACGTTTCTTCACCGATGGCACGTCTGATGTCATCATTGACGAAGACTTTCGAGCTCTTGACGACGACAGGGTTAATCCAAATACTGATCCCGAAACTCGAGCAGCCATTGCTACATGGCGTGGAAGAACCTCTTTCAGTTTGAAGCCATTGACTGGCAAAGCATTGGAACAGGCGAAGCAAATAGAGAAGAAATTTCAACAGCCCCCAAACGTTGCATTGCAAAAGAATCGTTTTCGATTTCAACCTAAGTCCAAGGCGAAAACGAAAGCATTGCCAACACCATCGGCCTTCAGCCCCCCCCCCCTCCCCGGGCCGGTGGCTTCTCAAGCCCCCTTCGAGAAGCCCCCCCTTCTCAAGCTCCTCTTCGCCGAACTATGATGCAGCATGCCCCCCTGAAGCCTTCACCTTTTGAAAAAAGTCAGTTGAGGGCTTCGAAGGGGAATGAAGTAGAGGCTTCGAAGGCTTTGAAGGCAAGGACGAAGGGGCTTCGAAGGCTTCGAAGGGGAGGATGCAGGGAGGCAGGACTTCGAAGGCTTTGAAGAGGCTTTGAAGGTTCCCGGATACCGCCAGGCTACTGGAGAACTTAAACATGGAAGTGAGCCTTAGCTGACGGTTGTCCCAAGTTGCGTCCATTTCTTTCTAAGGTTGATGTATTGATTCTGTTTCCTTCAAACTTTTGCAATGCCAATGGTGCTTCACTCAAACGAGGAGCACTTAATTCAGGAATGTCAGTGAAATCTGGGATGATCGGTATCTTGGACGACAATGTGCCTATGAGCATTACTGCTCCAACGAAAAGTTTACTCCAATTCCCGGGCGCGTTGTTTGCGCAAGGTCTGACCTCTGGGTTACCCGGGCTGCTGCTGCTAGAGGCAATTGAGAACTGTCATTCGCAATCTGATCAGAAGGTCTTTCTCTCCTTGCAAACCTCACTGACGATGCTGCGCGTTTGATTCTAAGATTGAACAAGGCATTGCCCAGCCGAAGCAACTCCAACACAGCGACACAAAAGCGCAAAGTTCAAAGCGTAAGAAAAAATATATTTTGTTGGCGTACGCGGGCCTCAGTGACAGCGGCTGCTGCGCTCGGTCCCAGTAAGAAAGCTAAGGAACCAAGAATGACCATCTTCAAGACAACTATACAAGGGTGAAAGCTTCAAAGAGCTAACTAAAAACGGGCCGGCAAAAACCGCAGGTTCGAAAACTACGTCATCTACCCTGTTCGGCACCGGCAGTACTGCACAAGCCTCTCAGCGAGCTAACCCTCCAAACTGTACAAGGAAGGCA